TGGCTTACTGTGTATTACATCATCATTGCCTACATAGGCACACAGGAATGGTACAGTGATAACAGAACGACAGAATGAATAGCGAAGATACAGAAAAGATCTATCAATCTCTGCTCTAGATATACAGCTAATTATGATAATTGTCAGGCCTATGATGGCTGTAATCACTGCATCCCTATTACTGGATCCTTATCATAACTTCAGTGGGATTGTCTTGGACTCATGGTGAAACGGAGTTTGCTATTCTGAGCCCATCGATGTTCCAGTTCAAATGGTACCATTACTAATTCCAAGTTATCTCAAGAACAGAGATTGATACATCTTTTCTGTATTTCGCTATTCATTCTGTCGTTCTGTTATCACTGTACCATTCCTGTGTGCCTATGAAGGCAATGATGATGTAATACACAGTAAGCCACGTTGAGACATGAATGCATATCTATCTATCTATCTATCTATCTATCTATCTATCTATCTATCTATCTATCTATCCACCCACCCACCCACCCACCCATCCATCTCCTGTCTGCCTGTTAATATATCCTGCAACTTGGATCAATGAGTTAGCATACCCTTGCCCAATCTGGCACATATATGTGTATGTATGCACTTTTCCCAAGGAACTAATAAGACTATGTGCATATCAGTGGTGGGTTGCAGGCAGTATGCCCCGGTACGGGTGTACCGGAGCCTGTCCGGAGCACTGGATACCATTCCGGTACGGTGCTCCGGAGGGCCCACCCGCTCGCCTGAGCTCCTTACCAGTCTTTTAAATCTTTGGCACTTCTGCGCACGTGCACGCTGCACTTGACAATGTGGACGCTGCCTGGCCCGTTCCAACCCTACCGGTTGGAATGGGATCCGGAACCCACCACTGGTGCATACCTGCTGTTTGCATGTGGGTGTGGGTGTGGGTATGTGTGTGGTTCTAATCATAAGTGCTGTGTCTCTGTGAGTGCATTTATGCTTTTCTTCTGTTGTATTTCTGTACTTATGTATCAGGGGTGGATTGCTGCTGGGGTCACTCCCAGTTCGCTGTGCGTGCATGCACAATTGCCTATAAATTGTTCTGCACATGTGGAAAATGCTAAAAAAGGACTAAAACACATGCCGGCAACAGCATGGGTGACTGGGGAACTGATTCAGGGGTGTGGCCAGCCAGCCGTCTCTACCGGTTCGGCAACCCAGTCGCAATTTCCACTATCTATTCACCCAAACCAACATGAACCAGTAGCAACCCACCTCTGTTATGTATATACATTTAACAATAAGAAGTAGACTGCATATTATACATTTTTACTATGCTTCATGAGACCTGGGTATTTTAGAGGGGAAGAGTTGGCAGCATTCTGAACCATTGCCCGCTTGCCTTTCCCAGAGACATTTTGGAAGAAATTTTATCCAAAACATTTTTTTTCTCTGGATTCCCTAGTGCAATGTTTCTCAAACTTGGGGAATTCTGGGTGTTGAATTCCATACATCTTAAAGGTGGCCAGCTTGAGAATTGCTGCTCTAGCTATTTTGGATCCAATGGCCACTTTCAAACTTGATATTTCTTTTCTTGGCTTTTCCCACAGCCAAATTTGACCCTTCTGTGTACTGTTTTTGAAGAATTGTCCCACTGGTGGAGACAGTTCTGATCCATAAAAAGAATGACACAATATCTTTTTCATATTAGTACAATTTTCTTTGAATAACCCAAAGTCTGGAAATGCCATAGTGTAAAAGGATAGGATCCAATAGACAACTGTGTGTGATTATATGTAGTTTCAATTATATTGTTTCAGTTATGCTTATGTGTACAGATTATGTGTTGCATTGTGACCAATTCACACTTGCTATATAACTTCCAGATTTCCCCTTCTGAATATCGATAAGTAACAAGGGGTATTTCTGGTATAATCTTCTATGAATAGTGAACTGATGAAGAGTATTTTTTCCTCTTTCTCACACACAAACACTCCTATTCAATATCATCAAAAGAGTATAATAGGGGCTGACTTTAATGCCTTGAGTGTATTTACCTGGAAATAAGGGCATTTGAGCTCAGTGGGATCTGCTTATCAGCAGGCATCCTTAAGTAATTGTAGTTGGGTTCCATAACCTATTTCTAGAAAAAAAGTTTGCAAATAGAACTTTTGGGGGGGGTGGGAATTGAAATGAAGTTACTTTGAAGACTTGATGAAATTTCTGGTAAGGTGGACATTTCCTAACCGCTTTTGGAAATTGCTTATTAACCATCTCAAAGATTAGAGATCTTTGAAATGGTAAGTTTCAAAAGTCTTCATCCGGTGAGCTTATCTGCAATTCTGAACAAAAGAAAGATAAGACATAAAGCTTGTAAAGAGTTAAGTTTAAATTTTGAAATAAACAGCAAAACGCTAAGTGAGATTTTGATCTAAAAGCGTTGTAAGAGGATTAAGAGTTAATATATTTTTAATATTTATTTTTCATATAAGATTTTAGAATTAACTTTAAAAAACAAACAACTTGCCGTGGGAAACAGATTTGTTTTGGCTATCCTGGCTATTGCAAGTCATAACACAAGATAAGTGATGACATCAGAAACTAGATCCTAGAGAGTACTTAAGATTTAAGCAGGATAAAAAAATGCAAGCCTGTTCGTGATGTTAGTTGATGATAGAGCTTATAATATGACACAAAATGTTATAATGTTGGAAATATTAATGGGGATCAAAACAGGAATTAGTAATTATAATATTGATACTGTTAGTCTGCTTTTGAGGATAGACTATGCCTAATAGACATAATGAAGGAACGGGAGAAGTGGAACCTCAAATGATAAGCCAAGAGAATGTTTTGGATAGGATACTTTACTGGATATGCAAAAGAAAGAGGTTGAAGGTTTTACTGGATTTACAAAAGAGGTTGTTAAAACCTTGACGAAACCCATGTGGCAGAATAAAGACAAGTAAAATTCTACACGAATATTTGATTGAATTAAAGTTTCCATCTGTTGAAGCAAACTGTTTATAGTAAAGGAAAGGATATACAGATGGGTTAATGATCAAGGTTAAAATAAGATTCTCTCCCTCTGTCTGTCTGTCTGTCTATCTGTCTTTCTCTCTCTTTGTCTCTGTCTCTCTGTCTCTCTTGCTCGGTTCTGGGAATCATTTATGACCCTATGATTGAAAACTTTATGTTTTGTGGATGTGCTTATAGATAAGAAATGAGACACATGATGAAGAGATATCTGTTTAACCGTATAGTGAGTGAAGAGTTATTAAATTTGCTTTGTACTTGTGATGAAGATTGTAAGTCATTTCTTTATTTTTTTCTTTTTTTTTCTTTTTTTTTGTGCACTTTTTATTCTTACCTTCCATTCTTTTTCTTTTTCTCAAAGTTTAGCATGCATTGGTTTCAACTATTGTAATTAAATTCCTTAATAAAAATATATTTAGAAGAAAAAATGTATTGCAAGATAGTAAGAGCAATCAAGTAGGAAAATTCTGCTCAGCAATATTCCAGCAACAAAGAAGAGATAATTTTGGCTCACCTTAAATCCAGAGGACAACAAGATGACAACAAAGAGCTACAGAAAACTGAATTAGATGCATGAATTCATATAGTCCAAGAACATTAACAATGAAAAATATTGAGTTTCTGGATTTGATTCTGTACATAAAAGAATCATAACAGGCAATTGTTTCTTTTACAGAAATGCTTCATCTGTAAGCATTTCGCTTATTTTTTCCATATTTTTATTCCCCAGAAAACAGTTCCAATAGATGACAAATGGACAAAGACAATATTCAGGAAATCTGTGAAAATGAGTACTTACTTGGTGGCCTGGGCTGTGCACCAGTTTAAACACGAAGAGAGAAAATCATCTCGTGGAATTCCAGTAAGTTCTACGTTGGTTATTTTTGCAATCTTTCTCAAGGATGAATGAAAAGCAAACTATAGCTTTTACCAAAAGTCATATCGTAAGTAATTTTCCCGTGGTTGGGTTTCTCTGTCTGCAAAAAGAGACCATATCATTTTCTGCTCCATTGTGCTATTTCACAAAGTTCTCTTATATCACGTTCTAAAGATTTAGTAAAGACGTTTATAATTTTGAAGCCTGCTTGGCTTTCTTCTAATTATGCAATTATGCTACATTCTGAGAAGATACTTGAAACTATACTTTTATCTAAGATCTGAATGAAACCATGTATTCAGAGTAAGTGTGAAATAAAACCTCAGCTAAATAGAATACATTGTGCAGAATGTCCTAATACTCATCCACCAGCCTTGAGAAGCCACTCCCCTCGGTGAACCACCAAACTACACGACAACCTACCAGCTATGTGTGGTGGTTTGACGTAGCAGATGGCAGCATTTAGCCAAGTTTTGCTGATCAGCACCCCCACACCCTCACCCCCATACCCCACTTTTACTAAGCAGTAAAAGACTCTTCCCTGCTTATTTGGATGGAGAAAGCAATAAGAAAGTCAAGGCTGGGTTGTAAAATTGAGAAATATTTTAGACGAAGGCAAACCATTCTTATATTGACAATAAATATACACACAAATATTGAGCTCTACTCTATTTATTTTAAATGCTTTGCATCTTTTCCAAGGGGAACCATTCCAAGTCCTCATTTTAAGTTTTGTATGACTGAGGTCCAGATATTTTCATGACCCCTATCTTGAGAAACACAGCTTAATACAATACAATAATACAATAGCAGAGTTGGAAGGGAACTTGGAGGTCTTCTAGTCCAACCCCCTTCCTATGCAGGAAACCCTATACCATTTCAGACAAATGGCTATCCAACATCTTCTTAAAGACTTGCAGTGTTGGGGCATTCACAACTTCTGGAGGCAAGCTG